GATTGATTAGAGGCAGAGAGAGAGAGGGAGAGAAAAAAACATGTAAGAGAGGTAGAGAAAGAGAGAGAGAGAGAGAGGGGAGAGAGAGAGAGAGAACAAAAAAAGATGGAGGGAGGAGGCAGGAGAGGGGAGGGAGAAGGGAGGAGGGAGAGGAGGGAGAGGGGATAGGGCAGAGAGGCGTAAGGATGAGGGGAGAGAAACGAGAGAGAGAGAGAGAAGGGAGAAGAGGAGGGAGGAGGGCGGAGGGAGAGGGAGGAGGAGCAGGAAGGTAAGAGCGTGAACGTTCGAGGAAGTCCTACGCGAAAGTGCCGTTCCTGAAGGAAGTCTCGGGCGGGAGCCCACGACGGGCGGGCGATCCCCTGACGGGCGGGTCGGGCGGGTGGGACATTCAAGCGGGATTCCTGGGTATGGCGAGAGCGCGACTACTAAGTAAATTGTAACGGCGTCCTTGGCGCAACGTGTTTCCTGAGCGTCGAAAGCGCGATTTCAGAATACATTACATGGAAGTTACAGGCGAGAGCGCAACTCCTAAATAAAATGTGAGGGGTTCTCTGGCGGGAGCGGGGGTCTTGATTAAATTGCGAGGAGGTCTTGGCTCAATTGCGAGGAAGTCTCAAGCGGGAGCGCCGTTCCAGAGTAAGTTGTGAGGAAGTCTCAGATGGGAGCGGGGGTCCTGACTAAATTGCGAAGAAGTCGGAGCACCGATCCTGAGTAGATGATGAGGAAGTCTCAGGAGCGAGGGTCCTGAGGAAATTTGGAGGAAGTCTCAGGCGGGAGCCGTTGTTGTTGTAATCCGGGGGGCCAGGGGCCCAGTTTGAGCAAAAAACAGCGTGCGAGCGTCGAGGAGCACACTTTGATTGAGAAAAAAGCATGCGCCCAACAACAACAACAGCAAAAACAACAACAACAACAACAACAACAACAACAATCACTTTACCCGAACGCTCAGTGTTCTCACCAGTGCCAGGGTTTTCATGCGACGCCAGCCAATACCCCCACTTTGTGGGGGGGCAGTGCAAGCTCTACCAAATATCCACACGACTCTTCGCCACCACCCACACCCAGCTTCCCGCCCTATGACGTTCGGACACTTCACTTCGTGGCCTGCGGACGACCGTGGCTACTACACTGGCGTGGAGTACACACCCACAGAAGTTGTTAGGACAGCGCGCGCGGGTGGAAATTTTGAAAAGTCGTGCAGGTGTTTTTCGAGGACCTACGGTGCGATTCGTGTGATTTTATGATGCGCGGTGCTAAAATTCTTAAGAACCCAATGGTTTTTGGAGATTCCGCGCGTGCGCGCGCTCGAAAAAAACGAATTGTGTCCCGAGTGCCGCATGGGATTATTGGACAGGGCTGATGGCCCTGGCAGGTGCGCAACCGTTGTTGCAGAAGTTCGAAAAAGTTGCTCGCAAAAGCCCGTTTGACAGAAATGTTTAAAAGTGTTGGGTTTCCTACGAATCCGCAAGAGCGCGCGGGATGAAATTTTGACATTTTGTTCCAAAAAAACCATTGTTTTTTTTGATGTTTTTATGTTAAAAAATCGCTGCGAACACTAAAAAGCTTGGGGAAAAGGATTTCGTCTGTGCGCGCGCGATAGTCCACTTTACCTTATTTATAAATTTATGTTTTTGCAAGGGATTGTCTTGAAATTCGTTTTCTCCCCAATTATTATGTGGCGTTGGGTTTTATTAGTGTTTTTTGCAAGGGGAAGCGGGGGGGAAACCAAAAACAAACGATCGGATCAAATCGGTTTACCTGAGGGCTTTCCTCACGAAAATGTGAAAAGGTAGCTGCGGCCTAGCGGCTCAGGGGGGGCGCGCACCAGGGGGCCCAAAAAAATTATTTCTTTAGAATAAAATAATGTTCAAACAACAACAACAATTACTAGCACGTGGGGAAACTCCGTTCTCACCAGTGCCAGGGTTTTCATAGGAGGCGGGCAATACCCCCACTTTGTGGGGGGGCCGGTTCAAGCTCTACCAAATTACAAAACGACTCTTCGCCACCACCCACACCCAGCTTCCCGACCTATGACGTTCGGACACTCCACTTCGTGGCACGCGGACGACCGTGGGCCACTACACTGGCGCATCGGACAGCGCGCGCGGGATAGAAATTTACTTTGAAAATTCGTACAGATGTTTTTCGAGGACCTACGGTGCGAATCGTATGATTTTATGTTGCGCGGTGCTAAAATTCCTAAGAAGCCCAATGGTTTTTGAAGATTTCGGCGTGCGCGCGCGAAGAAAAAACGAATGTGTCCCGCATGGTATTATTTGACAGGGATGATGGCCCTGGCAGGTGCGCAACCGTTGTTGGAGAAGCTCGAAGCACGTGAAAAAGTTGCTCGCAAAAGCCCGTTTGACAGAAATGTTTAAAAAGTGTTGGGTTTCCTACAAATCCGCAAGAGCGCGCGGGATGAAATGTTGACACTTTTTTTTTGAAAAACCATTGGTTTTTTGATGTTTTTATGTTAAAATCGCTACGAACACTAAGGTTTTGGAAGGATTTCATCTTGCGCGCGCGAGTGTGCACTTCGTGTCATTTTTTGCAAAGGATTCTTGAAGTTTGGTTATGTTAGAACAAGACATGTCATTTTATATTGTTTTTGGACAGGGAAAGCGAGCGTCAACAAAACAACCGGATCCGGACTCCCCCGTTTTGCCTGAGACTTCCTCACGAAAATGATGAAAATGTGGCTGCGGCCTAGGCGCGGCGAGGGGGGCGTGCACCAGGGGGCCCAACAATAATTATTCTTTAGAAGTAATAATATTCAACAACAACAACAACAACAACAACAACCACAACAACAACAACAACAACAACAACAACAACAACAACAACCACAACAACACCAACAACACCAACAACAACAACAAAAACACCAACAACAACAACAACAACAACAACAACAACAACAACAAAAAAAACAAAAACAACCACAACCACAACCACAACAACAACAACAACAACAACAACAATCATTTTACCCGAACGCTCAGTGTTCTCACCAGTGCCAGGGTTTTCATGCGACGCGAGACAATACCCCCACTTCGTGGGGGGGCAGTTCAAGCTCTACCACATATCCAAACGACTCTTCGCGACCACCCAAACCCAGCTTCCCGCCCTATGACGTTGGGACACTTCATTTCGTGGCGTGCGGACGACCGTGGCTACTACACTGGCGTGGGGTACACACCCACAGAACTTGGTCACTTATTCGGGGCGCGCGTGTGCCCAGCATCCTGCAATTGTGACATACAATACAGGACACAGACAGACAGAGAGAGAGACAGAGAGCAGACAGAGAGAGAGACAGAGAGAGCGGAGTTGGTCACATTTTTGGGGCAAGTTCCTGAGATCGTCGTGTTTTTTGTTGGTCTTGCGCGCGCGAATGTCCACTTTCCTTTTTTTTTTGCAAGGGATGTTGAAATTTGATTATGTAAGAACAAGAAAAAGTAGCTCGCGCGAGCTTATGTAACATAAATGTTGAAAAACCATTGGTTTTGTGGGAGTCGGACAGCGCGCGCGGGATGAAATTTGGACATTTTTTTTTGAAAAACCATTGGGTTTTTGATGTTTTATGTTGAAATCGTTACGAAACCTAAGGTTCTGGAAGGATTTCGTCTTGCGCGCGCGAATGTCCACTTTACCTTATTTTTTGCAAGGGATTATTGAAAATTGATTATGTTAGAACAAGAAAAAGTAGCTCGCGCGAGCTCATGTAACATAAATGTTGAAAAACCATGGGTTTTGTAGGATTCGGACAGCGCGCGCGGAAGGACATTTTGACAATTTTTTCTTAAAAAACCATTGGGTTTTTGATGTTTTTAAGTTAAAATCGTTACGAAACCTAAGGTTTTGGAAGGATTTCGTCTTGCGCGCACGAATGTCCACTTTACCTTATTTTTTGCAAGGGATTCTTGCAATTTGATCAACTAAGAACAAGAATTTTCATTTTCTATTGTTTTTTGCAAGGGAAAACGAGCGTCAACAAAAAACCGGATCCGGTACCAATCGTTTTGCCTGAGACTTCCTCACGAAAATGATGAAAATGAGGCTGCGGCCTAGGCGCGGCGGGGGGGTCGCGCACCAGGGGTCCCAACAATAATTATTCTTAAGAAGAAATAATGTTCAACGACAACAACAAGGAAAAGGCCGGCAACAGAGCCCCGGCACCACCTGACAGGGGCTGCCGGCCCTCCCCCCCTGTGAAGGCCGGGCTCGAAGCCCCGGTGCCCCAGGTCGACCCCCACCCCAAGCAACAGCAACCAGCAACCCCACGAACGAAACGGTGCGGTGGAGGAGGGGGAGGAGGAGGAAGACACTGGGGGAGGAGGAGGGGGAGTAGGCGGGGGAGGGCGGGAGGAGGAGGGGGAGAGGAGGAGGAGGAGGAGGAGGAGGAGGAGAGGCGGAGGCGGAGGAAGAGGGAGAGAAGGGGGAGGACGAGGAGGACGAGGAGAGGAGGAGGAGGAGGAGGAGCAGAGGAGGAGGAGGAGGAGGAGGATGGGGAGGAGGAGGGGGAGGAGGAGGGGGGCGGAGGAAGAGGAGGAGGACGGGGGGAGGACGAGGAGGACGAGAAGGAGGAGGAGGAGGCAGAGGAGGAGGAGGCAGAGGAGGAGGAGGACGAAGAAGAGGAGGACAAGAAACCAGAAGCATCATCATTGTCATGATGAGAAACGTCACCATCATCGTTACCGTGACCAGAACCAACAGCATCCACATCCTCAGCATCGTCACCATCACCGTCATCACCAGTGAGGTCGTACTAGACATCACCCCCAACATCGCCATGAACATCATGGTACACGTCATGATCATTATCATCCTCCTCCTCCTCCTCCTCCTCATCATCATCATCATCATCCTCCTCCTCCTCCTCCTCCTCCTTCCTCCTCCTCCTCCTCCTCCTCCTCATCATCATCATCATCATCATCATCATCATCATCATCATCATCATCATCATCATCATCATTTTCATCATCATCCCCGGCGTCCAGGAGCAGCACATCTCCAAGACGCGCGCCGCGTGCCCCTCCGGCAGCGGGTCGTCGTCCGTGAGCCTGGGCCGCGCGCGGCGGGAGCCGAGGCGGTGCGGCCGAGAGGCCTTGACCGGCGGACGGGCACCGCAGGACCCCCTCGCGTCGTGAAGCGATCGCGACGGGCTGACTACCAACCAGACCACCCCAACCTAACCCGAAGACCCGAATTTCGGGTCGGGGGGGGTACGGGTTCCACACGTGTTTTTGTCGATGTTCCCCGACCCCTCCCCCACTGGAAATGGAAGGCAAATCGAGGCCTTCGGGTTGGGTTGGGGTGGTTTGGTGGGTGGTGGCGGGCGGCGTCTTGCGGTCTCTGGTCGCTGGGGGGGGGCCTCGCTGAGCCCTGGGGCCAGCCGAGAATCGAGATGCTGCGGGGCGGAACAAAAACCACTCCCGGGGATCGGCGGCGAGCCCGGGGGGGGGGAAGCGAGAACGAGAGTGCCTTCCCAGAGGGCTCGGAGGTGACCAGGCCTGCTGAGAGGTGTTCGAAGCCTTCCCCAGGGACACGGAGAACTTCTCAGAAGGCGCGAGGGCGTCTAAGTAAGAAGTCCCGCCGCCTTCTGAGGAAGCCTTCTCCTTCTCACTTCCCCCCCTCGCTCGCCGCCGAATGAGAGTTGACGAACGAGTTCTCCCATGAATGGTGTGCCAAACGCGGGGGTAGTATTCTGAGCGGCGGGACACGGCGTGTGAATGTGTGGCATGTTGCGAAATGGCATGCCACTGAAGTGAGGGCAGAACAGATCATAGAGTGCAATAACAAGCAGCATGCCAATACTTGTTCGGTTGGACACGTTCATGAGCTCCTGCCCATACAAGCACGATAGACTATATATATGTATCTATGTATATATACATGTGTATATATGTATGTATGTATGTATGTATGTATGTATGTATGGATGGATGGATGGATGCATGCATGGATGGATGGATGGATGGATGGATGGATGGATGGATGGATGGATGTGTATGTATGTATGTATGTATGTATGTATGTATGTATGTATGGATGGATGGATGGATGGATGGATGGATGGATGGATGGATGGATGGATGGATGGATGGATATACGTATTCACATGTATACACACTTATGAATGATAGACATATATATATATATACTGCAAATATTCGCGCGCGCTCCGCGCGCGCGCTCAGTTTCTAGGCAGGCCCATGTGTTAGCAGCCAGCGTAACGGTTGAGCCGTCAGCCTCCAAAAGAAGTTATAAGCTAGCCACGACCTTGCGCGCTCCACGAGCACTCTTCTCTAGTCCTTGGAGGCCGCGTGGTCGGCGAGCTGTCACTCTACGTTTCTCCTGACAGGGTGCCTCCGCAGTCTAGATGCTTTACGCCTGGGGTAAGTTGAATATTAAAGGCGTATGGTTGATGTTGGGAAGTTCCACTGGAGACGCGGAACGATTGAGGAACGCCAAAAAGATTGAGCGGGAAGGGTTCTGGGAGTTCCTCTGTCATGTCACTCCTCCCCCGCCCCCCACTTCCCCTCTCCCGTTTTCGCCTCCTCCTCCGGCGATGACTACCGCCACCACCAAGACGGCCACAACAAGTACGACAACTAACACGGTATGCCACGTCGACCACGACGAGACGACCACAACCACGGCGACGGCCATTACAACCACCACGACCAAGATCACCATGATGATCATGATGAGGACGACGATCGACGACGACAACGATGTCGGATCTTTGTTGGCTGAGCATGTCCAAACCATCATAATAGTGAGGGTGTTATTGGGGGTTTCTGGAATTTATCGAGGCCCTTTGGGAGCTTCTGGGGGCTTCTTAGGGGGCTTCTTGGCGTCCAGTTGGGGTATTCTGGGATAGGGCCGGGGACTCGCGGAGCCTCGTGAGGGCGTCAGGAGGCTTCAAGGGCGCGTATGGGGGGCTTTGGGAAGCGTCGTGGAAGCGTGTTGGGGATTCGAGCGGGCGTGTGGGGGCTTCCTTGAACACTCTTTGAGTGCGTAGCGGCTTGGTGGCTCTTGGGTCGGCTGTTGTGAAGGTCCTCAGGCTTTAGTGGAGGTGCTCAGGCGCTCTGCCACACCCGTGTTTGTTGGTGCGTGTGCGTGCGTGTGGTGTGTGTGTGTGCGTGAGTCGGAAATCCTGGGGCGCTGTTCCAGAGGCGAGGGAGCCTCGGGGCTTTCGCTCACTCATCTTCGTCCTCCCATGGGGGTGTCGTGCGGGCGTCTTGGGGGCGCCTTCTGGGGGTGGGGGGGGGGGGTTGTGGGTCTCCAGGGGGCCTCTTGTGGCCTCTTGGGGGCCTCTTTGGGGCCTCTTTGGGGCGTCTTGGACGCTTCTTGGGGACACTTGGGGGCCCCTTGGGAGCTGGTGGGGCCTCGTGAAGGGCATCTTGCGGCTCGTTGTTATGTGTTGTTTGTGTTGGCTCGTGGTGGCCTCCTGGTGGCCTCCTTGGTGGCCCCTTGAGGCGGCTTGGGGGG